ACTGACAAGAATGTATATTTTGTGTATTTAAAGTGGAGAGCTCTATAAATGTTTATTAAGTTTACTTGTTCCAGATCTGAGTTCAAGTCCTGGATATCCTTATTGATTTTCTGTCTCGTTGATCTATCTACTATTGATGTTGAAGTCTCCCACTATTATTGTGTGGGAGTCTAGGGAATCTAAGTCTCTTTATAGATCTCATGTATCTGGGTGTTAGGATCGTAGCTCTTATTATTGCATTGATCCTTTTACCACTATATCTTTGTTGCTTTAAAATCTATTTTATCAGATGCGAGAATTGCAACTCCTGCTTTTTATTTATTTATTTATTTATTTTTGCTCTCCATTTGGTTGGTAAATCTTTCTCCTTCCCTTAGTTTTGAGTCTTTGTGTATCCTTGCATGTGAAATGGGTCTGGATGTAGCATACCGTTGGGTTTTGGCTGTGTCTTTTGATTGGGGGATTTAGTTGATTTAAATTTAGGGTTACTGCCATTTGATGTTAACTAGCTGTTTTGTTCATTCGTTGATGTAAATTCTTCATTATGTTGATGCTCTTTACTTTTTGGTATATTTTTAGAAAGGCTAATACTGGTTGTTCCTTTCTATGTGTAATGCTTCTTTCAGAAGCTCTTGTAAAGCAGGCCTGGTGGTAATAAAATCTCTGAGTACTTGCTTGTTCATAAAAGATTTTATTTTTCCTTCAGTTGTGAAGCTTAGTTTGTCTGGATATGAAATTCTGGGCTGAAAGTTCTTTTCTTTAAGGATGTTGAATATTGGCCCCTACTCTCTTCTGGCTTGTAGGGTTTCTGCTGAGAGACCTGCTGTAAGTCTGATAGGCTTCCCTTTGTGGGTAACCTGACCTTTCTCTCTGGTTGCCCTTAGTATTTTCTCCTTCATTTCAACCCTGGTGAATCTAACATTATGTGCCTTGGGGTTGCTCTTCTTGAGGAATATCTTTGTGGTGTTCTCTGTATTACCTGGGGTTGAATATTGTCCTGCTTTGCTAAGTTGGGAAAGTTTTCCTGAATAATAACCTGAAGAGTATTTTCCAGCTTGGATTCATTCTCTTCGTCACATTCAGGTGCACCTATCAAACGTAGATTAGGTCTTTTCACATAGTCCCATATTTCTTGGAGATTTTGCTCATTCCTTTTTATCCTTTTTTCTCTATTCTTGTCTTCTCATTTTATTTCATTAAGTTGGTCTTCGACCTCTGATATCCTTTCTTCTGCTTTATCAATTTGGCTATTAAAACTTGTGCATATTTCGCTAAGTTCTCGTGTTGTGTTTTTCAATTCCGTTAATTCATTTATATTCCTCTCTATATTGTCTATTCTTGTTAGCATTTCGTCAAACCTTTTTTCAAAGTTCTTAGTTTCTTTACATTGGGTTAGAACAAGTTCTTTTAACTCCCAGACGTTTCTTATCATCCACCTTCTGAAGCCTGCCTCTGTTAATGGAACACAGTCCTTTTCCATCAGGGCTTGTTCCGTTGCTGATGAGGAACTGTAATCCCCTGTAGAGGGAGAGGTGTTCTGATTGTGGGTATTCTCAGCCTTTTTAGGCTGGCTTCTTTCCTTCGTTATAAATTTATCCATCTGTCGTCTTTACAATTACCACCTTTCTAATTAGGTTCCTGAGTGGACGTCTGATTTATTGATTCCCAGCACCGGAATCTGAGCAACCCACTGTGCCGGCCAAAACAGCGGCGTTAAGACTGATGGTGCTCTTCTGCCCAGGAATCTCCGGTCTGGCTTCCTTCTTGAGTCCATAATAGGCGACTCTGCCTTCCCGGGGCTCCAAACGTCGGTCAGAAGGGGAACCAGTCCCATTTACTCTGCACCAAGAGCTGCTGCGCTGAGGCGCCAGCTAAACCCCTGTGCCGGCCAAAAGAGTCACGCTGGCGACCCGTGGGGCTCCTCCACTGGGAATCTTCTGGTCCATGAGCGACAAAAATTGGTCTGAAAGTGTGGCGTCCTCTCATTCTCTGAGCTTTCACTGGGAGCTACAATCCCGAGCTGTTAGCGATCAGCCATCTTGGATCTCTCTCCCCCAATCTCTACTAATAACATCAGAATGCAGGAGAAAAGCTGATTACAAATAATTTTCAGCTCTTTGCATGACAATCTTATAAATGACAAATATATTGTTTTATTTCTTGAAAATGTTTTACTTTGAATTCTTATTTTAATCCTGAAGATGCACAGCAAAATCTGTGCTCACAATTAATTCTGCTTTATTTTGAAGTGACCTTAGGTGAGCCATCTAACTGTCCAGCACCTTCATTGGGGAACTGAGACTGGAAGGACAGAGAACACAGCAGAGGTCTTCCAAAGGCTCCCTTTTCCCAGTGTTGTCACCACTGGCCTGAAATAAAACAGCTCTGCTCCACCTCCAGTCATGACTACAGATGGGTCTTCTGGGAACCTTATAATTATTCTCAGAAGCAGTGTTTGAAGCAATCATCTCTCACTGCGAGCTGCTTGGGCAAAGTCTCCACTGAGGATAAAACCCAATACCCCTCACGCCTATAATCCCAGCACTTTGGGAGGCCGAGGCGGGTGGATCACCAGGTCAAGACATCGAGACCATTCTGGTCAACAAGGTGAAACCCCATCTCTATTAGAAATACAAAAATTAGCTGGGCATGATGGTGCATGCCTGTAGTCCCAGCTACTCGGAAGGCTGAGGCAGGAGAACTGCTTGAACCCAGGAGGCGGAGGTTGCGATGAGCCGAGATCGTGCCATTGTACTCCTGGGAAACAACAGCGAAACTCCGTCTCAAAAAAAAAACAAAAAACAAAAAACCCAATACCCAAACACTGTTTCTTTACCACTAACCGAAGCCCCAAATTATATTATCATGCTCATGAGCCTTGGCTCTGTGAGCTTGCTGCAGACACTGTGGTAACCCAGGAAGAGCAAAGCATTTTATTTTTTAAGTTGTAGGATTCCCAGGAAGGGAAAGGCATGAAACTCTGGAGGGGCTGTCATGGGGGAGGGCGCTGGGCAGTGGGGAAGAGTGGGTGCAGCTTCAAGAGAAATCTGCGTCAGGTGCTGCTCCCCTCCCTGGACGTGGCTGAGGAGGGCTAAGAAGGCTGCCATGGATAAAAATGCTTGCCAAGGGGATTCCATGTTAATGGAGTACACAAAGCTAGCACAGAATTGTGAAAACAGTATACACATCACTGAAGTTATTGCTAAGCATTTTGGGTATGTGGCACCGTGCTATGGAGAAAATACATGAGGAATGAGCCCTGCTTATAAGGACCTCAAAATCTAACAGGACAACAGAACTGTGCCATGATAGCTCTAAAATGCACGGAAAGATGACGGGTGCTGTAGGGGTGGAGAGCTGGGAAAATGCATGCTGACAGGGAGGACAGAATCCCACAGCCATAGCCCAGGCCCCTCTCTCTCAAACTTCAGCCACCTCTCCATCTCCCCTCCCTGCAGGGTGGGAGAGCTGTGGTCCTCCCATTGGGAGCTCATCCCCCACCTAGGGTTGAGTCCTGACTCTCCCAGAATCTTCTTGACCAGGCTCCAAATATCTGTTCCTTCTTCCTGTCTCTTTTACTATTTGCCTTCCTACTCAGCTTACAAACATATTCCAATATCTCTATTAAAAAAAAAAAGAAAAAATCTGAAAATAATTTTTACTTTTCTATTACAGTGGTAGTATGTGTTCACTGCAGAAAACGTTAAAAATAAAGGTGGAAAGGCAAGGTGCGGTGGTAATCCCAGCACTTTAGGAGGCTGTAGCAGGTGGATCACCTGAGGTTGGGAGTTCAACACTAACCTGGCCAAGATGGTGAAACCCCGTCTCTACTAAAAATACAAAAATTAGCTGGGCATGGTGGCAGGTGCTTGTAATCCCAGCTACTCAGGAGGCAGAGAATTGCTTGAACCTGGTAGGCAGAGGTTGCAGTGAGTCGAGATTGCTCTACTGCACTCCAGCCTGGACAAGAGAGTGAGACTCCATCTCGAAAAAAAAAAGGTGGAAAAAGAAGGAGAAAAATATCTCCTATAAATCCACCATAAGGAGATAATTATTATTTCTATTCTGGTGCATATTTAATTTCTGTACCTTCAATACTTTGTACACTGTCTGAACAAAGCATATATCCAATAATATTTACAAAATGAATGGCTGACTAATGACAGTCTCATGGGGGAAATGGCATTCTGGCTGGATCTCATGGGCTGAGTAGGAATCTGACTGGTAGAGGTAAAGGGAAGATAGCAAACATAACGTCCTAAGCGTGGCACCTCCAGATTAGGCCAAACCAACCGTTCAGTGGCAAGTGGGAAGGCTGAGAGGCCAGGAGGGCAGGCGGTAGATGGCCACACCATGGGGGTGAGTTGGTGGAGGTCTTTGAATGTCCTTTGCCAGAGACTGGACTTTTGTGGCTAGTTGTGACCTAGTGTCAGAGGATGCTGAGTAATAGTGTAAGAGGACCAGATTCAGCTTCTAGAACATCATCTAACACCACTGGGGACACAGAATACATTAGGGTGCAGGGAAGATGGCGAGAACTTGAACCAGCCAGGATGGTGGCTGTAGTAACAGAAAAAAGAAAACTGATTAGGGACACTCTGCAAAGGTCACACTGTTAGCACTTGGAACTGCTTGCATGTGGCAGATGTGAAACAGGCTAGCAACTTGGAGTTTGAGTGGCTTGGTGGATGCTGATGCTGTTGATCTAGAGAACACAGAGCTTAGACTTGGATTGGAACAGGAGCATTTTCACTGCATGAAAAGAAGGGAAAGGATGTGGCAAGGCAGAGAGGAATTGTGATGTGGAAAGGGGGACTTCAGCAGATGAAGTTGGCTGGCCTCTTTGCTTTCCAAGAAGGAGAAATGAAAGGTACTTGGGAGAATGATAGGTCTTAAAGGAGAGGAGTGGAAGGCAAGGTTGAGGTTGGAACCTAAGAAAAATGCTTGGAACCTTAGTAACAAATAAAAGGATTACCAAGCAGCACTGAAGGTTCCGCTGAGAAAGCCCGAACTGGTACACACCACAGTTCTACAATGTCCAATTCTCAGAGTGTAATGAGTTAGGCAGAAAGGAAAAGACCTGCTCAGCTACAAGGAATAGGCAGAGTCTTGACGGATATAAGAATATGGTGGGAAAACTCAATCTTGACTGTTGTCAGGTCCCTGGAGCTGGGGATGGGGCCTGCAGCACAGCAGAGAGCTCAGTTATACATAAAAGGCAGCTTCTATCCTGTGAGCAGCGATACTCCAGGACATAAGAAGAGAGGCTAGTCACAAAAAGACTCTGAAGTCCATGCATTTCTAGCACAGAAGACAGGCAGAAAAGAACGAGGTAAAAATTACCATTGTATGGACTTTTATCTTTTATTCTGAATGAGAGACAGGAAAATTTCAATGGAGAGACAAGACCTAAGATTCAGAAGGATCACTCTGACAGCTGTATACAGAGGAGACGACATGGGGCAGGAGCAGCAGCTGCAAGAACAGTCAGGGGGCCACTGTATTTGTCAAGGTGAGAGAGAATAGCTTGGACCCAGGTATCAGTGCCAGTAGTTAAGGAAGGGGCAGATTCTGGAGACATTCAGAAGGCAAAGCTGCGATGATTCACTGGCAGACTGGATGCAGATGCAGCATGAGAGAAAGACCAAAGTCAAGAATGACCCCGTGGTTTTTGATCTAAGGAAACGGCTGAAACAGGCGACGTCTGGAGTACACTCTGGGTCCTGACTAATCCTGTACAGCACACAGCAGGGATGCAAACTGAGGACAGCTAATAAATTGTGAGACCCGTTTTTTATTATTATTCAGATATTTGGCCCTAAGATTCTATGGTCTCTGGACGTAGTTACTAGTCAGAGAATAAGGCTCTCACAACCAACATGTGAGAAATATACTAAAAATACATTATTCAGTGTTTATTGACCTAAAAACCTAAGCACTAGCTTAATGAATGCATACATGTCTAAGATTTTCTTGTGAGTGTTAAAAAAAATCTAGTGGGCATTAAGAAAACGTTGGAACAGTCTTTCTATAGCTGACTATGCCTGCTCCAGAAAGTAAGCCATTCCAATAGACTAAGGAAAAATACACAGCTTTCTTCACTTCAGCTCCAGATGAGACTGGTGGCTACCCAGCAGCCCTGGCACGATGCTGTTGGCCCTGCTCTGGCTCCTTCTAAGTTCAAGACTTTACGCCATGAGAAGTCACCATTGCATGCAAAAGCAGCCTCAGACTTAGGCCACAGAGGCTTCGGAGACCCTCCTCTTCATCACTGGGTTCTTGAGGCAGGGCTACCTTTGCCGGGTGGCTTTCTCTGGCTCCCTGACCGTCCCATCTGGTTCCAAACTTTGTTCCCCCTGCCCTTGCTAAACTCAAGCTTTCCTTGCCAGTGTCTTGAAGAAGCACCATCCCTTGGATGTGAGTCAGGAATCTGACCTCTCATTTCATGCATCTTGACTGTGGGTAAGAGATACTCATCCCCAGGACTAACCAATCAGGTCTACCTCTCATGTGGTCGCTTGCTCTGGGTAGGGTGTTTGGATAATCACAGTACAAGGAGTGTGGTTAGTGGGCTTTGCCCTCCAACCCTGTCTCTAGTCCAAACTCTCATACTTCCGACCTGTCTTGGCTTGCACTGAGGCCCACAGCCCCTCCTGGATCCTGTGCCTACTTCACACCTGTTCTCTAGTCCCTAATGCCAGTGGCCTGGGCACCAGACACTACCTCCAACAGAAATCCCAGAGGTCAACTGAGTTACAGAGTTTGCCACTTTCTAGTGCTTCTTTTATGATCCTCATATTTTAGAAGCTCATTAGATTGGGCAGCTTTTTATTTCTTGGGTCTGACTTTGGCAGGCATAACTCAGACTCAAAAGTTCTTTTATGTTGACTCAAGTTAGCTTTCTTCTATGGGCTTTTAATTTTCTATTTAGTTAAACTTTCACAAAAATAAGCATTTATAAAAATATAAAAGTTACACGTTTTCAAAAAACATTAGAAAATACAAAAAAGTAGAAAAAATTACTCATAGTTTTACTCCCCAAACATAACTGCTACTGGCATTCTATTTTATTTCCTACTGGTCTTTTTCCATTCATTTTTTCCCCCATGCACGCTCCCACCACCATCAAAACATGACTGCTGGCATACTGTTCTCACAATTCCTTCTTTGTTTTCAGATAGCATTTGCCTCTTAAATCTTAAAAAAAAAATCTTAAAGGGGGTCTTTTTTTTAAACCAGATATTTAAGAGTCATAAAAACTAAATATAATGTGTATAACTTGTTTTGATCCCAATTCAGGCAAATCTTTGGGAGAAAGCAAGGAAATATATTATGGACTGGGTTTAGAATGACACCAAGACATCAGTAGTCACTGTTAGGTGTGCTAATGGCATTGTGGTATATAAGAAAATGTCCAAAATTTTTACGGCTTCATACTGAAATATGTATGAGTGAAGTGACATGTCTGCAGTTTGTTTTAAATACTTTGACAATAAAAAAAAAGCCTTGATAGTAGTTGAATCTGGGAGGTGGGGAGGATGGATTTATTGTGCCATTTACTTTCATGTATGTTTGAAATTTTTCACAATAAAAATATTGAAGTATACATAGTTCAGTCAAGTAGTTTTAAAGGCTTGTTATGAAAAACAGCTGCCCTCCGTCTCTCTCTGTCACTTCCCAAGAGTAACTACTTTTACCACTTTAAAAAGCGTATTTGGGTATTAACTTCTATATAACCTGCCTGCTACTTCTTGATTTTTTTTTTTAGGCATTATTTGCAAACTTTTCACTACAGAAGATAATTTATTTTTCCTTCCGTACACACTCCCTCCCACATCATGCCCACATGACCATTCAAGTCCTTAATCCTCCTAATACATGACAATGATCAGAATTCACTTGCTCAATCTACTATTATGGTTATAGAAATACTGTTACTTTTCTATATAACTTTATATTCTCACTGGAATTAATAACTGCCTTTTTATTTGCTTGATTTTTCTGTGTACTATGTACATTAACCTACCCCAAACTTTCCACCAACCATCTATTTGGTTCTCAAGGTATAGTCCATGTATCCCTAGGGATCCCTGAGACCCTTCCAGGGGTCCAGGGGGTCAAACCTATTTTCTTAATAATACTAAGGCAGTGTTATATGTTCTTTCCACATGCTGACATTTACACTGGTGGCACAAAAGCCCTCATGGGTAAAGCTGCTGCCTTGGTGAAATCCGGCAATGGCACCCAGTGCACCTGTGGTCACCACTCTCCAGCACTGCATACTCATGTAAAACAAATGAAGATTCTGGACAGAGCAGTAAAAATTATTAATTTTATGATGTCTCAACCCTTGATTGTCTTTTTCACTTTTGTTGCATGTGGAAGTAGGCTGGTGGTCTTGAGGAAAAGCATTTATGTAACTGAGTCATGAAGTGAACTATTACTCATTTTATGGAACATTGTTTTTATTGAAGGAACAACTGACACACAAACTATAGTTATTTAGACTTGGGTATTTGAGGGAGAGTGAGAGAGCACAGTCTCCAGTGTCTCTTCTTTTTTTCTCCACAAGAGGTCTCACGATGTTTCCCAATCAGTGAAATCCTCCTGTCTCAGCCTCCCAAAGTGCTGGGATTACAGGCATGAGCCATTGTGCCAGCCCCCATTTTGTTTTTGACACAGAGTCTCACTCCCATTGCCCAGGCTGGAGTGCAGTGGCATGATCATGGCTCACTGAAGCCTCAATTTCCCAGGCTCAGGTGATCCTCCCACCTGAGCCTCCCCAGTAGCTGGGACTACAGGCACATACCACCACACCCGGCTACCTTTTGTATTTTTAGTAGAGACAGGGTTTCAATATGTTCCCTGGCTGATCTCAAATTCCTGGGCTCAAGTAATCTGCCTGCTTCAGCCTCCCAAAGTGCTAGGACTACAGGCATAAGCCACTGTGCCTGTAACTAACTTTTGAGAAACTATTTATTACAGTCTGGTATAGTACAAAAATGAATATCCACAATTATCTGAAAAAGTTATTAAAATGCTCCTTTCTTTTCAAGCTACATGTCTACATATCAACCAAAACAAATGATTCCAACAGACAGAATGTAGAAACCCATGAGAGGATCCAGCTTAGCGTCTTCTTTTTTTTTTTTCAGACAGAGTTTCACTCTTGTCCAGGTTGGAGTGCAATGGTGAGATCTCAGCTCACTGCAACCTCTGTCTCCCGGATTCAAGCAATTCTCCTGCCTCACTCTCCTGAGTAGCTGGGATTACAGGCACTCGCCACCACGCCCGGCTAATTTTTTGTATTTTTAGTAGAGACAGGATTTCGCCATGCTGGCCAGGCTGGTCTTGAACTCCTGACCTCAAGTGGCTGGCCTCCCAAAGTGCTAGGATTACAGGCATGAGCCACTGTGCCTGGCACTTAGCATCTTCAAGACAGACCTGAAGGACAGTGTAGTAGCTGCGACAAGGATCCTGACTGGTCCTTTACAGGAAAAGTCCGCCAGCCCCGATCTAAGTGATTCCTTCACTTCTTTCCAGTATCGGATCATTTGTTTCCTGGGTCCCACACCTTCCTCTTTCTTGATTTACTCCTCCTTCATTTTTGTGAAGCACATCCCCTGGTGGCTTTCTGAGAAAGGGTATGTGAGATGTACATTTTTGTTGAGGCCTTGTATGTCTGAAGATGTCCTTTCCTACCCTTGCCCTTTATTGATAGATTTGCTGGGTACAGAATTTTGGCATAAAGATCACAGTCCTTCAGAAATTAGCTCTGCATCACTGTCCTCTAGCTTCTAGGGTTCTGGTAGAAAACTCTGGAGTTATTCTGATTTCCAATTTATCATATGTCTTTTCTTTGTCCACAGTATTCTTAAATTTTATGACGATGTGTCTCCACCCCTGTGCTAGGCAGTGTGCCCTTTCAATATGAAAAATCATATCTTCCAGGAATGGGGCATTTCCTAGAATTATTTTGTTGATTATTTCTTTTCCTCTGTTTACTTTGTTCTCTATTTCTGGAATACTCACTGAAGAGATAGTGTCTATCTTGGACTAGTCCTCTAATTTTTTGTCCTTTCTATCTTTTTCTGGGACAACTCCTCAACTTTATCTTTCAATAGGAATTTTGAATCTTCTTTAATTATTCTAACCTGTTTTTAATTCCCAAGAGCTCTTTTTTTTCCCCTCCAAATGTTTCTTTTTTAAAGTATCAAGATTTTGTGATATAGCTACTTTCTTTTTTAAAAAATTCCCTAAAGATATAAGTGATCATTTCTTTTCCCGGCTAGTGTGTTTTGTTCTAGTTACTTTTTCTGTTTGTTTCCCTTTTTCCTGTTTGTTTGTACTCCAGTTGAATTACACATATACTTACGAGCCCCAGGGCTAAGAGTAAACTCTGGACAGGGTTTCATCAAAGTAAAATAAAGCTATTGTTGAATCAATGCATTGGTAATAGCTTCCCTATTCCATATTAGAATCCTCCCTCTGGGCTGTCTCTTCATACATGGAAATGAAATCCTAAAAAGCTCTGATTGTGTGGGGGAAGCTTATTGTCAATAAGCTTTACTGCAGGGAGAAACAGCTGGGCTTTTGATTGGGAAACTCTTAAGGTTAGTATCTTTATGTTTTTATTGCTTTTTTTTTTCCGGCAGTCATCTTCGAGTAATATCTTTATGTTTTTATTCCTCACTATTCAGATTCCTCAGAGATTTTCCCATGTCCCGACTCATGGATATAGGCCTGGCAACCAGAATTCTGGGGCTGGTGGCAAAAAGCAAGCTGACACTCTCAACATTCAGTATGCCAACATTCACTCAACCTCCCCTAAATGAGTTCTCTAGACAGGGTAAAGTAAGAGGTGTCTGAACTAGAGGACATCAAATACCACCATCAAGCATGTTTGATGTCCTCTAGTTCAGACACCTCTTACTTTACCCTGTCTAGAGAACACATTTCTGATCTTCTGCTAAGTTACAGGAGGGGCAATTTTAAAAAATAAACTTTCAATACTGTTGTTACCCTCATTCTCCCCCACCCCTCCCCCACCTTCTAGAATTATCTGGTACTGTCAATTTCTGAATTGTTTAGGGTTCTGCTGTGCAAACTGGGTTGTTTCTTGGCTTTCTCTATTTCTGGCTCAGGATTCAGCTTTCTCAGGACTGCTAAGTCAGTTACCACTCATCCATCTGCTACTTAGCTTCCAAAATTTTGTTGCTGTTGTCTCCTCTCCCACTCTCTTTGTTCTTGTGGGTTTCTGTCTTTGAAAAAAAATCCCTTTACTGTTGTTTTAGTGAGGTTTTGGGAGGGAATGAAAGCAAATGTGGGTATTTGATCCTCTATCTTTATTTGGAACCCCTTTATAATTAAGTATCTTTTTTTACTTCCATTTAAATATTACAGTATAAACACTTCCCATGTTCTTGCATGGTCTCTGTTGATAGCTTTAATAACTGCATATATTCCATTGAGAATGCACCAGAGCTTACCTAATAATGACCCTATTTCTGAATATTTGGAGTTGTTTTGGATGCAGGAGAGGTCTAAATTCTCTTTCATGTATCTCTCTCCCATCATTCCCTATAGGCACATCCTGATGACAGGCATAGACCTATTTTTCCCTATGCCTAGGAACTCCTGCTGACATCCTTCTTTGTTCTTGGTCTGTGGTTTCACCGCCCTGTGCCTTGATTATGGCACTACTTGCTCATTCATCTTCACAGCTCCAATCATCCTGTGTGATGATGCAGTGCTGACCTTTCTAAAATCATCTTTCTCATGACACTTCAGAGGAACCCTAACACCTACAATTCACTTGTGAGTGGCAACTGTGATTCTCCACTTTGATTTCACCCCACCTATGTAAACTCTTTTCACTTTACCTAATGTCTTCCTCCAAATAGGTTCTGCTCTCCTAACTGCAGGCTGAGCTGCCCCTCCTGCCTTGCCAAGCCTCATTCAATCCCACTTACACCCTGTCTCCTGAATAAGCCTCCCCAGCATCTGCTTACTCAGTTTCTTCCTTCATGATAGCAGACATGAAGAATGTTCAAAGTGTTTAGGGTCAGTCTTGCCTTCTAAGTGGGGCTGATGGCTCTTCCAAGGCAAGGACTCTGACATTTCTTCTCTATTATGGCTGCTCCATACCTCCCTTGTCCTTCCACCATGGCACCCCAGCCAGTGCCAGGCACATGGTGAGTGCTTCCCATGACTCCACTCAAATGGAGAAAGAAAACATGTAAGTTGTTACCTTGCCCGCTGGAGTCAGTGTCCAGATCACAGAGAAGGTCAGCTTGTCAGACATGGGGTTGAGACTGCACAGCTCCTCACACAGCAGCCTGGGAAGCATGGGGACCACCTGTAAACAGAGTACAGGCCCATGAGCACCTTTCTCCAACCCACTTAGGAGAAGCCCAGAGGGCAGAGTTTTGGTGAACAGCTTCAGCTTTTCCCGAGCAAGCTGAAGATGGAGGTGGCTCTGTTCCCAAAGACACTGCAGAAAGACCACACTGTCGTATACTTTTCCATGCGCCTCTAGAGTCAAATGGAAATGTGAGCTGGGAGAGTGAGGCGAACTAGTAGAGGAAGGCAAAAGTACACTGCAAGCAATGGAAAATAGCTACACTGTATGATCTACTAAACCTGACACTCCAGACTCAAGAAGTACTTATGCTTTGGGGACATAAACACTCCAGTTGAATTATACATATACTTAAGAACCCAAGGGCTGAGTGTAAACTCTGGACAGGGTTTCATCAAAGTAAAGTAGGCTATTGTTATTGTTGAATCAATCTTTTAGTAATTCATATACCATAATTTACCAAATTAGCTATTGGAATATTGAGAGAATACTTTAATAAAATATCACTAGAGAGGAGACCGACTCAAGATGCTGTGGTGAGAACAACCCAGGATTGAAGCTCTCGGTGAACACACGGAGGGTGAGTCAGGGTCGCATTTCCAGACGGATCTTTGTTACCCACAGAACGGGGAAATTCCCAGGTATGAAAGAGACGCGGGAAGCCAGCGCAGTGGTTTTGGCTGGTGCAGCCAGCGGCCGGCGCTGCAATGCAGCGGTGCTTCACAGCGCTCCGCACAAAGCGCACTGGTCTGGGTGCCCTGCTGAACCAGCAATCTGAGACTTGAGAGGGCAGATTGGCATATCCATCTGATTGAACGGGACTTGGACAGTGAGCCAGGCCAGGAGATTCCAGGGAAACGGCATTTGGGCCAGTGGGACAAACAAAACGGCGATTCCAAACCCTCCGGGTGGAGAGTTTCACTGCGGGCACAGCTGAACCCATGACGGTGCAGCTCGGTGGGGGAGGGGCGTTTGCCATTACCGAGGCAACCCACCCCTACTGAGGTACACTCCCATTGCTGACGCAGCCTGCCGTTGCCGAGGCAACCTGCCACAACAGAGAGACTCCGCCACAGGGCATAGCCTGTGGCAGCAGGGCGGAGACTGCAGCAGCAGGGCAGAGCCTGCAGCAACAGGGTGGACCTCACACCAGCAGGGCGGAGCCTCGGCAGGCAAATAGTGACTAGACTGCCTCCTAGCTGGGTAGGACAGCGCAACGGACACTCATAAAGAAAACCCCAATCCCCCGAGACAGAGCATCTGAGAAAAAAATGGGTTTTTTTATGAGTTCTGCTGCAGCAGAATTAAATGTAGCAGCCTAACAGCCCTGAATGAACAACAGAGCACACAGATCAGCACTTGAGCTCCTATAAAGTACAGACTGTCTCCTCAAGCAGCTCCCTGACCCTTCTATATCCAGAAGACTGACATTTGGCAGGCGTCATTCTGGGACAAAGATAGCAGAAAAAGAAACTGGTAGCATCCCTCACTGTTCTGCAGCCGCTATAGGTGCACCCCAGACAAGCAGGGCCTGGAGTGGACCTCAGCAGTCGTACAGCAGAGGGGCTAGACTGGTAGAAGGAAAACCAAGTAACAGAAATACTTCATCATCAACAGTCTGGGCGTCCACTCAGAGACCCAATTGAAAAGTCAGCAACTACTCAGACAACAGGTGGATAAATCCACAAAGATGGGAAGAAACCAGCGCAAAACGAAGGAAAACACCCAAAACCAGAACACCTTGACTCCTACAAAGGACCAAAACTCCTCACCAGCAAGGGAACAAAGCTGGACGGAGAATGACTGTGACAAAATGATGGAATTAAGACTTCAGAAGGTGGATAATGAGAAACTTTTGTGAGCTAAAAGAACATGTTTTAAATCAATGCAAAGAAACTAAGAACCTTGAAAAAAAATTTGAAAAAAGATTCGAGAAAATGATAAGAATGGATAACTTAGAGAGGAATATGAATGAATTGAAGGAGCTGAAAAACACAATACGAGAACTTTGCGAAGCATGCACAAGTTTCAACAGCCGAATTGACCAAGCAGAAGAAAGAATATCAGAAGTCGAAGATCAACTCAATGAAATAAAACGAGAAACCAAGATTAGAGAAAAAAGCGCAAAAGGAATAAACAAAGTCTCCAAGAAATGTGGGACTATGTGAAGAGACCTAACCTACGTTTGTTAGGTGTACCAGAATGTGACGAAGAGAATGAATCCAAGCTGGAAAATACGCTTCAGGATATTATCCAGGAAAATTTCCCCCACCTAGCAAGGCAGGCCAACACTCAAATGCAGGAAATACAGAGAACACCACAAAGATATTCCGCAAGAAGAGCAACCCCAAGGCACATAATCGTCAGATTCACCAGGGTTGAAATAAAGGAGAAAATACTAAGGGCAGCCAGAGAGAAAGGTCGGGTCACCCACAAAGGGAAGCCCATCAGACTCACAGCAGATCTCTCAGCAGAAACTCTACAAGCCAGAATAGAGTGGGGGCCAATATTCAACATCCTTAAAGAAAAGAACTTTCAACCCAGAATTTCATATCCAGCCAAACTGAGCTTCAGAAGTGAAGGAAAAATAAAATCCTTTGCAAACAAGCAAGTACCCAGAGATTTTTGTCACCACCAGGCCTGCTTTACAACAGCTCCTGAAAGAGGCACTACACATAGAAAGGAACAACCAATACCAGCCATTCCAAAATCACACTAAATGCTAAAGAGCATCAACATAATGAAGAATCTACATCAACTAACGGGCAAAACAGCCAGCTAGCATCAAAATGGCAGTATCAAATTCACACATAACAATATTAACACTAAATGTAAATGGACTAAATGCACCAATCAAAAGACAGAGACTGGCAAATTGGATAAAAAACCAAAACCCATCAGTGTGCTGTATCCAGGAAACCCATCTCACATGCAAGGATACACAAAGGCTCAAAATAAAGGGATGGAGGAAGATTTACCAAGCAAATGGAGAGCAAAAAAAAGCAGGAGTTGCAATTCTCATCTCTGATAAAATAGACTTTAAAGCAACAAAGATCAAAAGAGACAAAGAAGGTCATTACATAATGGTAAAAGGATCGACACAACAAGAAGAGCTAACGATCCTAAACATATATGGACCCAATACAGGAGCACCCAGATACATAAGGCAAGTTCTTAATGGCTTACAAAGAGACTTAGACTCCCACACAATAATAGTGGAAGACTTTAACACTCCACTGTCAATAATAGACAGATCAACCAGACAGAAAATCAACAAGGATATCCAGGGCTTGATCTCAGACCTGGAACAAGCAAACCTGATAGACATTTACAGAACTCTCCACCCCAAATCCACAGAATATACATTCTTCTCAGCACCACATCACACCTACTCTAAAATTGACCACATAATTGGAAGTAAAGCACACCTCAGAAAATGCAAAACAACTGAAATCATAACAAACAGTCTCTCAGACCATAGTGCAATCAAGTTAGAACTCAGAATTCAGAAACCAACCCAGAACCACACAGCTTCATGGAAACTGAACAACTGGCTCTTGAATGTTGATTGGATAAACAATGAAATGAAGGCAGAAATAAAGAAGTTCTTCGAAACCAATGAGAACGAAGACACAACATGCCAGAATCTCTGGGACACACTTAAAACAGTCTCTAGAGGAAAATATATAGCAATAAGTGCCCATATGAGGAGAATGGAGAGATCCAAAATTGACACCCTATTGTCAAAATTGAAAGAGCTAGAGGAGCAAGATCAAAAAAACTCAAAACCTAGCAGAAGACAAGAAATAACTAAGATTAGAGCTGAGCTGAAGGAGATAGAGACACGAAAAACCCTTCAAAAAATCAATAAATCCAAGAGCTGGTTTTTTGAAAAGATCAACAAAATAGACAAACCACTAGACAGATTGATAAAAAAGAAAAGAGAGAACAACCAAACAGATGCAATAAAAAATGATAAAGGGGAAATCACCACAGAGTCCACAGAAATTCAAACCATCATCAGAGAATATTACAAACAACTCTATGCACATAAACTAGTAAACCTGAAAGAAATGGATAAATTCCTGGACTCCTGTGTCCTCCCAAGTTTAAACCAGGAGGAAGCTGAAACTATGACTAGACCAATAACAAGGTCTGAAGTCGAGGCAGCAATTAAGAGCCTACCACACAAAAAAAGTCCAGGTCCAGATGGGTTCACAGCTGAATTCTACCAGACACACAAAGAGGAGCTGGTACCATTCCTTCTGAAACCATTCCAAATAATTCAAAAAGAGGGAATCCTTCCCAAATCATTTTATGAGACCAACATCATCCTGATACCAAAACCCGGCAGAGACCCAAAAAGAAAAGAAAACTTCAGGCCAATATCCATGATGAACATAGATGCAAAAATCTTCAATAAAATATTGGCAAGCCGATTGCAACAGCAAATCAAAAAACTTATCCATCATGATCAAGTAGGATTCATCCCGGGGATGCAAGGCTGGTTCAACATACGCAAGTCTATAAACGTAATTCACCACATAAACAGAACCAAAAACAAAAACCACATGATTATCTCAATTGATGCAGAAAAGGCATTCAACAAAATTCAACAGCCCTTTATGCTAAAAACCCTCAATAAACTCGATCAATGGAACGTATCTCAAAGTAATAAAAGCTATTTACGACAAACCAACAGCCAATATCATACTGAATGGGCAAAAACTGGAAGCATTCCCTTTGAAATCTGGCACTAGACAAGGATGCCCTCTTTCACCACTCCTATTCAATATAGTACTGGAAGTTCTAGCCAGAGCAATCAGGCAAGAAAAAGAAATAAAGGGCATTCAAATAGGAAAGGTGGAAGCCAAATTGTCTCTATTTGCAGACGACATGATAGTATACCTAGAAGACCCCATCGCCTCAGCCCAAAAACTCCTGAAACTGATAAGCAACTTCAGCAAAGTCTCAGGATATAAAAATCAATGTGCAAAAATCACAAGCATTCCTCTACACCAAAAACAGACTTAAAGAAAGCCAAATCAAGAACGAACTGCCATTCACAATTGCTACAAAGAGAATAAAATACCTAGGAATACAACTCACAAGGAATGTAAGGGACCTCTTCAAGGAAAACTACAAACCACTGCTCAACGAAATCAGAGAGGACACAAACAGATGGAGAAACATTCCATGTTCATGGTTAGGAAGAACTAATATCGTGAAAATGGCTATACTGCCCAAAGTAATTTACAGAATCAATGCTATCCCCATCAAGCTACCACTGACTTTCTTCACAGAACTGGAAAAAAACACCATGAACTTCATATGGAACCAAAAGAGAGCCCGCATAGCCAAGTCAATTCTAAGCAAAAAGAACACAGTGGGGGGCATCACACTACAGGATTTCAAACTCTACTACAAGGCTACAGCAATCAAAACAGCATGGTACTGGTACCAAAACAGAGATATAGACCAATGGAACAAAACAGAGGCATCAGAGGCAACATAACATATCTACAACCATACAGTCTTTGATATACCTGACAAAAACAAGCAATGGGGAAAGGATTCCCTGTTTAACAAATGGTGTTGGGAAAACTGGCTAGCCATGTGCAGAAGGCAGAAACTGGACCCCTTCCTGACAACTTACACTAAAATTAACTCCGGATGGATTAAAGACTTAAACATAAGACCTGGCACCATAAAAACCCTAGAAGAAAATCTAGGCAAAACCATGCAGGACATAGGAGTAGGCAAGGACTTCATGAACAAAACACCAAAAGCATTGGCAACAAAAGCCAAAATAGACAAATGGGACCTAATGAAACCCCACAGCTTCTGCACGGCAAAAGAAACAGTCACTAGAGTGAATCGGCAACCAACAGAATGGGAAAAACTTTTTTGCAGTTTACCCATCTGACAAAGGGCTGATATCCAGAATTTACAAAGAACTCAAACAGATTTACAGGAAAAAAACAAACAAGCCCATTCAAAAATGGGCAAAAAATATGAACAGATACTTTACAAAAGAAGACATATATGAGGCCAACAAACATATGAAAAAATGCTCATCATCACTGGTCATTAGAGAGATGCAAATCAAAACCACATTGAGATACCATCTCATGCCAGTTAGAATGGCGATCATTAAAAAATCTGGAGACAACAGATGCTGGAGAGGACGTGGAGAAAAAGGAACACTTTTACACTGTTGGTGGGAGTGTAAATTAGTTCAACCATTGTGGAAGACAGTGTGGCGATTCCTCAAGGCCTGAGAAATAGAAATTCCATTTGACCCAGCAATCCCATTACTGGGTATATATCCAAAGGACTATAAATTGTTCTACTATAAGGACACATGCACATGAATGTTCATTGCAGCACTGTTTACAATAGCAAAGACCTGGTCTGGGAAAATGTGGCTAAAAGCTTCAGCAGAACTAGCCATTTACTCAACATATTTCCTATGGCCCACTTTGGTTTGCAGTGTTGAGCATGGATAATACTGTAAACCCCACGCTAGGTAATTGAGAAATGACAGGCAAAGGGTGGCCATGCTGTAGATGAGGTACATTTGGCAAATTATGTTTCTTTACAGGCAGAAACAACAAATCCCAGTGGCTTCTTATTCTGTGTGAAGCATCTGCAGCTGTACTCTGCTTTAGTACAGTAAGTATCTTTGGTATGGAATAGTAATCTAGAACTCATGGCCCACATCAGTAACAAATCATTTATAGTTGTTTGGTATTTGTTTTTTCTTTTTCTTTTTACTTTCTTTTTTATTTTTTTAAATTAAATATAAAAGTTATTTTAAAAATTTTTCATTGTGAGGCCCCACTTTCACGGTCTGTATTCGTACTGAAAATCAAGATCAAGTGAGCTTTTGCCTTTCTGCTCCATGAGGTTTCTGTCCTCCCTGAGCTCGCAATTGTTTGGTATTTCTAAAGGATGCCTCATCTCTTAACATGTATATGAAACCTAATGACTACCTGATAACTTTGGTAACAGCTTTTCCTAACAGCTTTTGGTAACAGCTTTTACAGACAACTGCTTTTGAAATTGTTTCTTGCCATTGCTTTTGCACCATCCTTTCAGACAATACTGTATTTTCTTTGCTAGTATTTTATGATGCATTTGAATGTAATCTAAATATTTAATATTTTCTTGTATATGTCAAGCGTTGTATAAAATGATATATCTTCACCTGTTTAAAAACAGTACACAAAATGGAGAAAGCTTCAATATGGTACTGAATTATAGACTTCACATACTCAGCCTTCGGGCTACACTAGGGACTGAATTGGCACCCTCCCCTCCCCACCCCCAGTTATATGTTGAAGCCCTAACCTCCAATGTGACTGCATCTAGAGAAAGTGTTTTTTAGAGGTAAGTAAGGTTAAATTAGGACATGGGGTGGGGCCCTGATCTAACAGGACTGGTGACTTTATAAAGATGAGAAAGAGACACAAGTCTCTCTCTGCATGAGTAGGCACAGAGAAAAGGCCATGTGAGTGCACAACCATATGCAAATCAAGAAGAGACCCTCCCCAAGAACTGAATTGGCTAGCACCTTGATATGGAACTTCTGGCCTCCAAAACTGGAAGAAAATAAATCTCTGTTGTTTAAGCTATGGCATGTTGTTATAGGAGCCCAAGCTAAGACACTAACTTGAGTTTGTTGGGCATGTGTTCTTGTATTCTCCTCTGGGCTGCATTAACTGACAGTTCGTTCTTTCAACTATATTTTGGTAACTGACTGCTCAGCCACCTAGCACACTGGCTGCAATGATATTAGTCCAGGGTTTAATGCCTTTTTTTTTTTTTTTTTTTTTTACAGATAGTTAGTGTGTCTTCTACGTGTTCAAGGCAGTATCTTACTTTAAGTCACAAAGCCGAGCATTTGATTATGCGTCATAATTCCTGACTTCATATTGTAGTGTTTGTCAAAAGAAAGTCATTACAGCTTGGGCCAGAATTAGACCCTGAAACAGAAAGAAAACACTGATGGAAAAACTAGTGAAATCCAAACAATGTCTGTTTCTTAGTTAGGACACATGAAGCATAGTCATGTAAGATGTTCACATGGAGGAACTGGGTATGGGACCATTCTGCACTACCTTCGCAACTTCTCTGTCAACTACAAGCATTCCAAAATAAGACAGCTTATTAAAAAGAAAGTCACTGTGTTCATTAATTGGTGGTGTGTTACAAACATAAATATGAAATAAATGTATGCTAATTATCTAGTGAAAACCTGATCTGTTTCTACATGTTCGAGTTTGGGGTTCAGATTTTATTTGCAAAAAGGGCTTCACCACTTAAAAAAATACAGCAAGGTCCAAAGACCTTTTTACCAACTCAGTGACATGCAGACTCAGCAGCAGCATGGTACAGGAAAGAGAGCAACCTGAGAGACTTGGGGGCTAATCTTGGGCCCACCGCTTCATGTACAATTTGGGCAAGTTTGTAAAAGTGTGAGTCTTGATCTTCAAGTCAGTAAAATTTTGAGTCTTGGTCTTATTGGTAGAACAATACTGAAGATGCTCAATAAAGATCAGCTCACTGGCCAGCCCACGGTGTCCAAGGTGCTGTCACCAGGCTCAGGCATCCCCTTCAGCCTTGTGCCCTGGCCCTCTCCCAGGGCACTGGCAACATCAGTCACACAGGCCTTCCTGCTGCAACCCCTTCACCTGCCTGTGTGCTGCTCCAGCTCTTGCCTGTGCTGGTCCCTCTTTCTAGAACACCTTTCTGGACATTTTACAGCTGGCAAATTCTTGCACATCCTTTCAGTTTCTGCTCATTTCTATTGCTAAAAGGTTTATCCAAAATCCCCCAGGCAGAGTGTGTGCTGTGCTTTGTGCACCTCCCCTGTCCTTTCAAAGAGGATTTGGGGCTGTCCTACACAGTCAGCTACTTACTCCATCCTCCCTGCTCTTCCGCTGCATTTACACACTGTCCTAATAGCTTCTTCAGGTGCCTCAGGTGCCACGGACAATGAATCCTCAGGAGCAATGGCCAGGCCTCACCCCTCTCTCTCCAGCACCTGATGCATGGTAGGCACTTCCAGTGTGCCGACAACTGACTGACTGTCCAGGAGATGGACCACCTCATTTTTCCTACGTCTACTGCATTACATACACATTTTATGAAATACACTAGAGACTTCTATTTAAACATCTTGACAAAAAAGGCATAAGCAACTAGTATTTTAAGTACAAGCTACGCTGCTTTGGCTACTACCTCCTGAAACTTATCAGCACATGCAGCAGCGGCACAGGCCATAAAAACTGTGTGGTGTCCTGTATCTTACACAGAAGACGTTTTATTATTCATACTGCAATGGTAAGACACTACACAATCTAAGTGCTCATGAAAAGGCTGAACATTAAAACTTTTTGGTTAGTATAATTATATTTAATTTTTAAGAAGCATTCCTTGAAAAAGACATTCACTAGGTCTTAAAGCAGAATTCAGGTGAAATTCATAGAAAACCATCTTTATGTGCATACAGTTTTCTAAATAGATAGTTATTCCTCTGTGTTTCAAAGGAAAAGGAATTAAGAGGTTACAATCACATCTGTGGTTTGGCACATCACAGCCTCTCACAAATGGGGCCTGGTTCCTGCCAGGGTCACTGTGAATGCACTCTCCCACAACCCCAGACACAACAGGATCTCTGTGGAAGAGGTCAGGAAAGGAGAGGCAGGCAGCCCCTTCTGATCAGCTGCTTTCTGGAATCCAAGTCCCGTTATGTCAGGCAGAGATGCGCCCGGACCATGGCGCAACAGTCCACGCACACAGGTCAGTTACATGAGGCCTGCCACGGTTACTGAGAGCCTTTGGGCCAGGGGGATAAGTGTGGAACACCATGTCTGACTGGAAAAGAAAGGTCTCTCCAGGAGCTGAGAAACTCCTGGCTATCATTAGCACTGTGCAAATGTTCAAGCATTCCCTGACACCTTGATCCTTTTCCCCGGTCTTTTCCTCATTAACTTCACTACATAGTGTGAACCACATGGATAATTCCTTCGAGGTTCTTTATTTCCCTCACTTCTACTATCCCTGCTCCACAAAGCCCATGACTGATCTTATAATCGGCCTTTCCAACTTCTGCACGTCCTTGCTGAGCAGTGATAGAGACCTGGGCTGTGTGGAGGTAAGTTGCTAAGCTGTCTTAGTTCTTACCTCCATGAGGGTTGGCAGACTTTGTTAGTTCCTTCGCCACGCCCCTCAGATGAGGTCCCAAAATGTTATTACTCTCCTCAGCCCTCCTACCTGACTGCCTTCTCAATCGTTCTCAGCAGAAAATCTCAACTCTTCTTCACAGAGAAAACAGATCATCAGACTCCATCCCTTGCAAGCTACTTTCCAGCTCTTTCCTTTGGCCAGTTTCTCCCAGGCCCCCTCACTTTACATGTGTGCCCTGGTCTCCTGCCACCTCACAATGAGCATCTTCCCTGTCCAAGGCCTGGCCCTCTGGCCTTGTGACTCCACATACCTCTGGACACCATGAACTGGATGTCCCATGAATATTTCAAACTCCACATGGAGAAGACAAAATTCAGCATTTCCCCTCTTCTTCGCCTGTTCCCATGTCTACATTTCCCACCTCTGTTAAGAGCAGCATTCTGCCCAAGTTAAATAAGCAAGGAAACAAATAATCACTCCTCCCTCAAAACCATCAAAGTCACAAACACCACACCCATGCCTCCCCACGCTCCTCACCCCTGCCCCCAGAATACAGCTGGGATTAACCTGTGATTTTTCACTCTCCTCTCTCTTCCGTCTACATCCAATCACTTCCCAAGCCTAGGTCTAACATTCTAACTCTCTCAAATGAGTGTTTTCCTCTCCTCCTTCCACTGTTCAAGTGTGGATATGTCTCTCTCCTTCTCTCAGGATAAAAACCAGTAACAATTCTTGAGTAGAAATTATTCTAGATAAGACTTATTTATTCTTCAGATTTCTGCATCTTCTTATTAATCTCTACTTAATGATAATTTGCAATTCCATTTATATTAGGCCACAGTCCCTTTGCCTTCCCAATAGTTAAGGAGCTGAATTTAGTAAATGGACTTTTGCATGTCCTGTAAATGAAGGAGGGCCTAGAGGGTTTAACGGGCCCAAGAGGTTTTTAGAAAAGCCTGGCCCCTCTATGTTCAGTGGCTAAGGTCACAGGTACTCAAGAGCTCCTCAGGGGGAAACTGGAGAAGGACCCTATTTCTGAGAAGACAGCAAAGGTAACAGTGGGAAGCTAAATTTGCTGTTTTCCCTGTCCTTTGCTTCTCCCTATTTCTTATGTGATATTGCCAGAATTGGGAAGAAACTGCAATTTGGAGTCACTAAAATGCTGCTTGTTCAGAATCTCCATTTGGCACTAGGCTGAAGACATTTATTGTCCTAGTTTTCCTGGGGTCTAGTTAGACATTACCACACTGGTAAACTCTCATAAGATTTTGGGAGCAAAGATCTCTGTTTGTGTTGGGGTAGTTACTCAGCGCCTCAAGAGCATGTGACTGGGGAAAGGGTCCTGGTACTGATGACAATTTTCCTGCCTCTGGCCTCACTAATCTTCAATCACACAGGTGCTAAGGTGATTTTCTATCTTGGTCAAAGGAGACCATATCACTTCCCTACTTACCCTCAAAATCCGAGCTCCTTCGCCTACCACTCCAGGCCTTTCTCTGTAACGTTATCCTTGGCTGTCTCTACAACTCACACCTCAGCAATTCCAAACTGCATACTGCTCCTTGAACGTTTCATGCTTTTTCTAGCCTCTTCCTGGAATGTCTTCCTTGCCCACTTTTGTCTACCTAGAAATTTTCTACTCAAAATGTGAAACACTGTTCAAAGCACAATTGGTGTGTGAAGGCTGCTTGGTCCTTGCAGAAGCTCCTCTCCCACTACCAGCCCAGGCAGATACAACCTCTCTTTCTCTTCTAACACCTCCTCACCTTTGGGGCACTTCTGTATCTGAAGACAGCCTGATGCATGGCAGGTGTTTCCTACCTGGCCACCTCCTCTGACTTCCCCAGGGCAAGACCAGAATCTGTCTCATCTTTACCTCTCTGGAATATGGCACACAGCTGGTACTCAATAAATACCAAGTGGATGAAGACTGATAAGTACTTTATGCAGCAGAAAAGGAAACGGGGTTTGAAGGATGCTAAGTCCTCTTAAGCATGCTTCACAGCCAGGACCAAAGTTGAGTCAGGGCAGAGCTTAAAAGCTGGCCATGGAGAAAAGGGACACTGATGATAAGATGCTGACTTTCTAAGCATTCTGGACCAGGTCTGAGTAGAGAGAAATCGATCATTTGGGTAAATACAACACTGCCCAAAGCAGCTGGGTGGGGGTACCAACAAGACTATAAAATCTTACATTAGCCTCAGAGAGCAGAAACATCTGCTAAAGCCACAGCGGGCAGGCTGGCCAAGTTCAGCAGCAGGTTAGCCAGGACAGCCCTGTGACCAACACAAAGGGCCACAGAGGGGAAGAATCAATCATTCAGGCAAGGAGGAGCAGGAAGGACTAGCAGTGATGTGGGAGCCAGATACTCACAAGCCAAGCCATAGGGGCTTCTCCACTACCTGGAGGGCTTGCAGGGCCTCTTCCACCCCTTTCAGCACAGGCCTTCGCTGGCTCCCCACCCACACTCCCTCACGCCCTCAGTGCCCATTGGCCATTCAGCCCATATCTGCAGTCTGAAAATTGGTAACTTTTCCCCTTTTCTCCAAGGACTTTGAGGTTTTAACAACAAGATACACTCAGCTAGCTCCCCACTTACACACTGAAATAACTTAAAGGAGACAGATGATTCACTTGCCAGCCAACATCTCTGTTTAAAGAGTTTCCTTTTCCATATCAACACTTCCATGAATTCAGAATTTGATCAACTCTTTGCTACACAGTTTGACATTAACAAAACATCAACACTCTGAAAACCTGCTGGTGTCAGAAAGAAACATCTTAAAACTCTTTGGACTCTGCATTAAGACAGGCTTCCAATCCCAATCTTTGATCTCTATTATAAAGCAGTACCAATAAAATAGCGTAGAGATTTATGGGCGAACTTTCACTTGAGCTGTTTCACACCTAAAATAACATGAATGCCTGGGCCAATAGGCAGAAAATTTAGGTTTAGGTTTCAACTGTTTAGATTTTCTTTTACTTTTAAAGCTTAATTTGCTTATTTCTAAATTATCTTAAACTTTGCAATTACATTATATTTAAATCCCAGAGAGGACGTTTGAGAGGCATGAACTGAGTAAATGTGGTGTCCTTCTGAGAAGGACAGGCCAAAGTTCAGGTGGACAGCTGTCCCCTGTTCTAACAGAACCATCAAAAAAATTTTTTCTGATATTTAAATGGACACTATTTAAATTTATTTTCCCACCTAAGTACAGCCTATTGTTAGTAAGATTAACCGAATGCTTATTACTGCGAGCAAAATCTCAACAAAATAATTTCATTTTAAAAGTCAGTGAGATGGTACTTGGACCTGAGACCTGTTACACTGTATACTGTCCTGTTCTATGGGTTAATCCCCCAATTAGAGTTTAGATAATGAGTTTAGATTGCAATTCTGGCATCAGTCACTTATAGATCTGAATGAAATCAGTGCCACATCCTCTGTAGATGGGAAACCAACTGGAACCCCAGATCCCCTTCCCCTGTGTGATGAAGCTGGGAGAAATGTTTGTGCCAAGCGAGAAAGCAGAGAATCTGGAGGATGAAAACGCAGCTCATCCAGCTTTTCAGAAGAGCTTTATAGGCAAAGTAAAGTGAAAACGGCAGAAAAGTTCCTGGACACAGTCCTTTAAGAAACAAAAACGAGTAGGAAGAAAGGTCAGAGCAGCGGTTCAAAGGAATCAGAGCACACAGCTGCTGCTGTCCAAGGTTGCGGGCCGGCGCCACTTGTGCCTGCCAAGCTGGAGGCAGTGCTGGGCAGCAGAGGCATGTGGGCCCTTCCTCCACCCAGCTCCCCACTTTCAGAACTCAGAAGCAGAGCCCCAACTCTGTAGTCCCACAGAGAAATTCCAGAACTGTGACAAACACAAAACCAAAGGAAACATGCTTAATTATTTAACCCAATTTGATTTTTTCATTTTCTGATTTTGAAAAGTAATTCCTAGTTATAAAAGAAGGATGCAGCAGCTGGTACATGGCCGTGGCTTCATGGCCATGGGGGTCAGGGAGGGATGTGCTCATGTGCTCATGAGGGATACCTGTGGGTCAGAAGTTTGTGCTGCATTCTCTTAAGCTGCCAATATCTGCCCAGAGCTTGGACACAGGTGTCACAGACATTGTGAGGGATGGGGTCAAAGAGAAGTTCCTAAATATTGCATTTAGCCTTAAGCTAGCCACAAAGGTCAGGTAGGGATACAGTACGTTTGACACAAGCAAATGCTTCAAACAGAATTCCCCCACTCTGATGAGGACACAGCTAGCTATTCTCACTAATTGTTCACTGAAGGTGCTGGGTCTTTCAGGCATCACTGTGCATAGAGATTACCTATTGCCCATGGCACAGTTACCTGGAACTGGGTTTTGATGATCACACAGCTTCTGACTCAGAGTTTCCTGGCTCTGATCAACTCTGTCTTCCTCTCCATTCAGTATTTTCATTTCTGGGATGGCAGAAAACATGTACATGGTGGTTCTGATCACCTAATGTGAATAGTAGACAAAGCCGAACCTCTGAAAAAACCAGCTGTCAAATTCTCCTGGAGCAGGTAGAGCTAGGGTTTGCTCCAATATTCTAGGTTGCAGTGATCCAGAGAGTACTGTCCTGGGGTAGGGGAGAGGAGGTGCCAGGTCTTCCTAGGTAGGGCCTTCACATATTGAAGGCAGCCATGTTAGATGACAGCTCTGGCTTTCCTTTGGGACAAGAGAGCCCATCTAGGCTAGCTCCCTTTGTAGCAGGAGCAAAGTGTCTCAGACAGGGTGACTTCTACCACAGGGTTGAAGACATCACTGTCAACCGTTAGGCTCAGCTACACTGGGGGAACTAAACTTGGGCCACAGGCAACAGGATCTTCAGCCCCTAGAGGATATGGCTGCATTCAAAGCCTAGACTAGTCTCTTTCCTTTTGAGAGGTTGGTTTTCAGGGTGGACAAGTTGAAAACATTGGTAACATTTGGTAAATACCAGAAATCCTAGAAACTTTTGAGTTTTCCTAGATAGCTTCTGCTCCAGAAGTGCCATTACCTTTGTGGGCATCAAGTAGGCACTCTGCTAGAAGTGTAGCCTAGAAATTCTAGAATGTACCTGGATTAGTCCATTCTCATGCTGCTATAAAGAACTGCCCGAGACTGGGTAATTTACAAAGAAAAGAGGTTTAATTGACTCACAATTCCACGGGGCTGGGGAGGCCTCAGGAAACTTACAATCATGGTGGAAGGGGAAGCAAACATGCCCTTCTTCACATGGCAAAAGGAAGAAGTGCTGAGCAAAGGGGGAAAAGCCCTTATAAAATCACCAGCTCTCATGAGAACTATCATGAAAACAGTATGGGGGTAATCACCCCCTGATTCAATTACCTCCCACTGGGTCCTTCTCACAACACATGGGGATTATAGGAACTATAATTCAAGATGAGATTTGGGTGGGTACACAGCCAAACCATATCAGCACCCTTCTTAAGGCTGGCATGACAACTATGGTGTACAGTGGTCCAGGATGATACGTTAGGTCTTGGGATGCTGGAGGACTAGACAAGGTTGGGCTGGGGAAATAAATGATGATCCACTCATGTGACAACCTACCTGTCCAGGAGAGCTTCTGTACTTTTCGTGCTTGTGTATGTCTGGAATACTCAAAGGACAAATGACATTATGGATTATTGCACCTGGTAGAGTTATGTCTGGAAATCCACCTTCCACATGTCTGTCACATGTGCTGCTAGGTGTGGCTGAGGTGAGAGGTGTCCTAATCCTGTGCATCAGAGCACAAAGATAGGCATCTGTGGGAACCTTAGATGACAGCCATGTGAAAGCTGTGGTAGTTCTGAGAGAAGTGCATTCCACAGGGAAGAGGAGAAGGCCAAGAAACCCCTGACACAAGCTCATGTCTCTATCCTTAGAGGGCCTTGGTTTCAGGGTTGAACAGAGAACATACTACCAGAGCTGGGTAGACCTACAATCCTTGGGCTCCCAAGCCAATTCTCTATTTGGAATGTGGGTACAGCTCCTCTGTCTCTGTGTCTGAACACCCTCCTGTCCATGGGTATATTCACTGGGTATCCAGGGCAATGATGTAATGAGGAGGTAGTAGGTAGGAAGTGGTGCCACAGGCCATCCAGGAGGCAGAACTGACACGACATAGTCAGTGACACTATTCAGACCTCTAGCTGGGAAGAAAACAGGGCACAGGAGAACACTGGCTCTTAAAAAGATCCACGGCCTCCTTTATACTGGCAGGATGAGACTAGGCCTCCCCTATGGCCAGAGCCAGGCACGATAAGAGTTTGGGGTTGGTTCACTGGGACCATAAGGTGGGGACATTTCCAGGGTGAGCAGTACCCCTAGTGGCCTGCCCTGACAGCATCTAGACAATATACCTACAAAAAGGCCAGTCCCTTCTTGGGAACAGCAGGAAATAAAGGTTTAAGAGGTGAGAAGCACAAGTTGTCAAGTACTTTTTTGGAATGATGTGAAGAAGGGAAGAGATACCAGAAAACTGAGAGAAGAGGAATGCTGTCTTGCAGACATGCCTCAATGCTTGTGCTGAGATTTGTATGTTAATCCATCTTTCCAGGGTCTCTCCAGGTTCCCTATACTGGTGGTTTCTTCAAACCTACAGGATGGCACCCCTCTAAATCATTCTTTATAGGGCAGGTAGCCGGGTGTATTTCCCCAGGAGTTAGAGAGGCAGTAGTTAAAGTACAGGGACCTACCAGGAAATCCACCTTCCTGCTGCTTGTAGGGGCATAGCTCAGAACCTGGCTTTTCCTTCTGTCAGCTATGTGAGTACACATGGGAGCTGCTGCCCAGAATGAGGCAGCAGAAAGAGTATCCTTTCCTTGGGCAATGACATTTGAAAGTTCCCAGAATGGAGGAGGCTTGGCACCTGAGCTAGTTTCTTGTTCCTGAGAGATGGGGCCAGACAAAGGGTATCCAGCTCCCAGAGTGCCTTGGTGTGTGAGGGTGGATGGAGGGGATCTTCCTCTGACTTTAGGGCAGTCAATGAGCAAATACCAGAATCAGGTCCTAGGGCATGGGCTTGGGAGGCAGGAAGGCTCAAGCTAGTATAGGTAGCAATCCCAAACTGGACTGCTGAATTTTAAAAAGCTGGAAAGGAAGTGGAAGTCCAGATATAGCCAAAGAAGGAAGATGAGCAAATGAGCAGAGGATCAGAGGAAGGAAGGAAGGAAGAGAAAGAAACCTGGCAGAATTCATGCACCACAGTGTAGAGGGCAGAACTCACTTAATTTTGGTCTCTTATTCACCCCTGTCTCTAAGTCTACTGCAGTGTCCACCAGATAATTGGTGCTCAACATATACTTGTTAAAGGAATGGATTCTCATGGTTACCTATTGGACATGCCAGGTACAGGTACACAGAATGGAGGGGATGTTTTGAGGTGAATCTGTCTAATCCTTTCATTTCATAGATGAGTCTAGGGAGGTCTGTAGACACTTAGTAACTAACCAGAAGTGGTACCATCAGGATGAGAAGAAAAAGCTCAAACTCCTCCTCCCCTTCGCTTTTCCATCTCGGATTTTTCCATAGCTATCTTGTAATGGGCAGGTCAGGACCAGACTGGCTTCCCCACCTTTAGAACAGGGTTTGAAAACAATTCCTTAAAGGGCCTACAGTAATAGGAAATCATCATGCCACTCTGCTGAAGTAGTGTGAAAGCAGCCACAGTATATGAACAAATGCATGTGGCTGAGTTCCAATAAAACCTTACAAAAACTAGTGGCTGGTGTGGGCTGAGTTTGCCAAGCCCTGCTGTAGAACAATCAGTTGAAAGCAGTATTTTGCCTCCTTTCTTTCTGAAACTGAGTATTTGTCAGTTACTTACATGGCAGGGCCATTCTGGGATAAGGCCTCAGATGAACACCTGTGTCTTCCTTTGGCTTCTCTTTCAGGAGAACATGCAATAACAGAGAGCACACACTTTTCCAGGGAAAGAAACAAATAAACACAGGAAGAAAAAAGAAACTAGAAATGGATTTTTACCTTTTGAACCAGGTAGACACTTGTGGCCCTCTCAGCAGCCACTTTATCCAGATCGGACCCCTCTGGAACAAAGTAACTGACGTCGGCAATGTGAACTCCCACTTCAAAGCTGCCTGTAAATGCATGAGAAGGACTATCAGGCTAGCATGCAAGGCCACAGCATTCCCTCCCAGGAGTCCTTTCCGAGAATGTATGTCACTCCCAGAGGCCACAGGACCTGCAGTGTAGGCTGACATGTTTTGCTTGCTTCCTTCTTTGGCCACTTACCCCTGTGACCCACACTACTGTCGCTTTCCCCATTGTACAGCAAAAGATGATGAAATTGTCCTTGTGAATAAACAAGATTAACCACTTCACAAAATGTTACCCAATTCTAAAGGCTTCTTATCTTTGAGTAAACATAAGAAGATATGGCTCATTCTCAATGATGAACAATCCTTTTAGGTCACTAGAAGTGAATTAATCCCCAAATCCTGCAGAGGCAGCCTCTGAAAGCTCTGCCCTTCCTTCCCATCGGCCATTGCCCTATTCACCCCACACCTGGTTGCCCTGCCTTGCCTCTGTGCCTCCCCATCAGGCCCTCCACATTTTTCTGTGATCTTTCTAAATGTGGGTCTGGTAAAGGGACTCTTAGCCTGTTATTCAAATCCTTGCAGGGTCACACCCCAAGCAACCTCAGCCCCATCCTTCACATGCTCTGCATGCAGCTGTCATGGGAAACCTCTTTTCATTCCCTGAACAGATCTTCCCTCAAGCCATTCAGATGTTGGCTTGGCTCATACTTTTTCCTATGCTTGGGATAGTCTCAACAGGGCATGCTTCCTACAGGGCATTCTTTGGAGTTTTTCTGCCCAATTTTGCCTATCAAAATCTTCCTGACTTTATTTGGGTCAACTGAAAGAGAATCCCAAAACAAGAAGAGATTCCTTTGCCCCTCCCTGCTGTTTCCTCCACCTGTCTGCCTCCCCTAACTCCCCATCCCCCACACATACACCCCTGTTCCCTCCACCTGCACTATAAAGCACCTGCTCCACATCTGTTGCTGTTTGCCACAGTCTTTCTTCAGAGCTCTCGTCACTACCAGATATCACAGCATATCTCTATCAGCTTGTGTGTTTGTTATATGCCTCTCTCCCTACCACGTAAACTCCAGCAAGTAAGGCCTTTTGTGTAATGTTCACTGTTGTACGCCCAGGGCCTGAAAGGGTGCCTGGCACATAATAGATCCTCAAGAAGTACTTGTTGAATGAATGAATCAATAGTCCTTTCCCTCTGGTAAAGGACCTCCCTTTTTTCCTTTTAGAACTGCTCCTTCCCTTCCTGGTGGAGATGTCTTTCAACAGGCCCTGTACTTCCTGCCAGTTTTACCAGAGTTGGTCAGAAGAACAAGGCTGTTAGAACTATACCTTAAGTGAGGGAGGGTAGTTAGGTTATCAACTTAAGATTTATTCTTGAATACCCTGTAGATAATCTGTCAAATAGTGTTATGTGAAAATAAAAATATACACATTCATATGTATGAGTATATATGTACATAAACATGTATGTGTGTATGAAAATGTACAAAATGAACAGATTACAAAAGAGTATACATGTAAAATAAGTATATAGGCTGGGCACAGTGGCTCATACCTGTCATCCCAGCAATTTGGGAAGTTGAGGTGGGCAGATCACTTGAGACCAGGAGTTTGAGACCAGCCTGGCCAACATGGCAAAACCCCATTTCTACAAAAAATACAAAAAGTAGCCAGGCATGGTGGCACACACCTGTAGTTCCAGCTACTCAGGAGGCTGAGGCAGGAGAATCGCTTGAACCTGGGAGGCAGAGGTTGCAGTGAGCTGAGATTGTGCCACTGTACTCCAGCCTGGGAGACAGACAGATCTCAAAAAAATAAAATAATAAAATAAATTAAGTATACAGTTTAAAGATACACAATGGGCAGACAGAAGCACATGGAAGATACAAGCATAATGCTAAATTTGCTTAAGTTGAACAATACACTTGATAAATTACATGAACTTCAGGAAAGACGGTCTGTCTCCTGAGATTCCAGGCACTAAGGACCATATAAACCTGGAGCTGCCAGGAAACATCTATGCTACATAATCATGCAAAAATAGAAAATAATAGTCTAAGAAAGAAAAGAAGAATTATGACCTCATTTGAACTTCAGGATCCAGCTGAGCCTGAAACTAGTCTACCTGTGAACTTGGCTATTAATGAGTGGATCAATTCCCTTTCCATTATGACTCACTGACAGAGTCCTGACTCATCCCCATGTTGGCTATGAAGGGCTTATTAAGACATTACTGTTTGCTCCTTTGGTGACCTGAATGATCCGTCCTAAGGCATCACATATTTTATCTGCAAATTGTGTAGCTATTTATTATCCTCCTATTCCTTCTTCACTGGGGGATAATTCTTCCCTCAGTTTTTAAAATGGAAAAATGCTTAAAACATGGGGTACTTGAAAAAGGGGTTCAGGCAAGGAAAAGAATTTAAGATTCCCTATTCTTCATCTGGTGTAACACTCAGAGGCCACCTTCCTACAGGGCATTCTTCAGGGTTTTTCTGCCCAATCCTATAGCTATAATACATAAAGGAATGACTTTACTTAAGAGATCCCAGCTGCTATGTGGTAACATAACAGATCTGTTTCCCACAGAGGAGAGGGCTGTCTGGAAAGCTGAGAGTAACCAGCATGACTCCAAGTTTAGCTGCCTCATTCTGACAGGCACGCAGCTGTGTCGCTGGGTCACTGGGAGCAGTGAAACCTGCCCGGCGATCGAGGAACTGAACTTTACGTGAATTCAGCCAAAAGTCTCAGACGGCTCAACTCCCAGTTTTGATATTTCAAGTATCTAAAACCAACACTTAGAGAAGGTAAAACAAAGTGTCTTCTTTTGAAGTCAGCATTATAATATATTGGCCTAACAGGTAAATATTGACTAAAGGACAAGAGAGAGGATTATTACATCATGATATAAGCCAGAATCTTAAATCCAGTTTCTGTGTTGTTACTACACATGAACTTTCTGTCCTTAGTCAAAATTGACAAACCGACAAAGAGTTCATTACAGGAGATAAAATATGAAAGAGGCCAATGAAAATATATTCAAGAGGCTTACATTTCACTCAGAATTCCCAGCAGAGCCTCTGAAACCAGCAAAGAGAAGCTCTCTTATTCTCTGCTTTGGATCTTTTTTTATGGAAACCCTAAGTAAATATTTTATTATATATGTTTACATAATGTGAACTTGCAGAACTCGAGAGGTAGTGGCCTTGAAATTTTTACTCTATGAAAGAGAAAATATAAATCCAAAAGTTACATAGCATACACTGCCAAAATGTTTAAGAAAAATTTGATATTTTAAAAGATACTGTCTTTCATATAAAAGCATTCTTTTAAAACATTTTTAAATTTAAAACTTTCTTCTGCCAGGGCTAAGATGAGTCTGTGTGTTTAAAGAGCAGTCAGAGCAGAGAGAGGACGGAGCCCCCGGTCAGCCGCGTCTGGCTCACTTTGCCCAGGGTCCACAAACTTAGATGAGTACAAACACTCCTTTGAATGAACTTGACAGGACATCAGAACAGTTCCATCCAATTAAAACACTAACAGATTATAAAGCAGAGTTTAGAAACCATCTCTTTGAAGCCAGCCTCCCAGCCAGTGCAGCCACTTCCCCACAGTGTCCCTGCCAGGTGGACCTGACATATCCTCAAGGGTAGGAAGTTGACATCTTCCTGAAGCCACCTGCTCTCTTTCTGAAGAGCTCTGTCTGGTAGAGGAAGTCCTTCCTCACATGGATCCTCTAGTTTATGCCCACAATAGATATCCGTGAGTGGGGATCCCTCCATTTAAGGAGCTCTCGGTCTAATGGGGTTCACAGATACACCCACGTGATGATTAAAGTGTACGGGAGGAAGTTGAACTGCAATCAGTGAGAACATTTGAAAGTGTTTTGTGATCCATAACAACTACCTAAGTGTAACGTGGACAGTGATGATCATAAAAATATAATAAAGATACCAGGAGTGACCATTTATGAAATGTCTCCTCTGTGCCAGGCAGGGGCTCCACACACAAGCTAGCTTTGACTACAACTTTGCAAATCGTTTTGCATAGATGAATTATCTGAGACACAGAGAACTTCTCAGTCACTATTCCAGTTACCTGGCTAAAAAGTGAGAAATCCCAGACTCAAATCCAGGTTGAGTTCAGAGCCTTTGCTCCTTTTATTACACTATCATTGCAACTCCAGGACAGGATGATACAACTCAATTTTTCATCTCAGTGGACCACAGCTCTCCCTATCTCTCATAACTCTGTGGAAGCCATGTTCTCGGCTTTGGATTCAGAAGTCCTGGCAGAGACTTTTCCCATCCATGTTCACAGCCACATTCCTGTCCCTGAAGGCTCTTTTGGTTCCCACTGTCAGTATCCTTAACTACCTGTAGCAGGGCCTGAATACAGAACAACCACTAAGCCATTAACTCCAGCTCTATTTAATCAGATGGAGCACTTTAAAATCTAAACCATTTCTCTCTAAATCTCTAGTTTATAGCCATTTTTAGTTGGTAGTACAGAGACTGTCTGAACTACTCAAGAGGCCTGTGCCAGGAAACTCTACCCTTACCAGCAATGAGATAAGAGCCTTCCAGACTTGGGTGACTTCATTCACTCTGACCCACTGCTGAGACTGCACAGTGGTTACAGTGGTGACAGAGACTTTTCTTGACATCAGCAGGAAACTCCTCACATAAAACAATACTATGTGCTGTAATAGATGTTTGTTCCCCCCAGTCTCCCCACCCCCTGCCAATTCATATGTTGAAATCTAATCCTCAGTGTGATGGCATCAGGAGGTGGACCTCTGGGAGGTGATTAGGCCACAGAGGTAGATCCCTCACAAATAGGATTAGTGCCTTATGAAAGGGACCCCAGAGAGTTCTCTCATCCTTTCTAACATGCGAGGACGCAACGAGAAGGTGCTGTTCCGTGAACCAGGAAGTGGGCCCTCACTAAACACTGGATTTGCCAGCATCTTGATCTTGGACTTCCCAGCCTCAAGGACTGTGAGGAATAAATCTGTTGTTTTATTTCTTTATGCC